GAATATTTCAAAAATTCATCGCTCCAGGACATCCTGCCACCAATGGCCTTGCAGAGCGAAACGTCCAAACCTTAAAGCAAAAGTTAAAAGCTTCTTTTCTTGAAAAATCCTCAATCCCAAGTAAAGTTCAAAACATATTATTCCGTTATAGAGCAACACCTCTAGCTTGTGGACAGTCACCTGCTCAATTATACTTACATAGAAAAATCCGCATACGTTTAAACTCAATCTTTCCTTATCATCCAACACCATCAACAGTTTCCAGTACTCCTGTAAGATCTTTTTCAGTGGGGGAGAGAGTCTAGGTGAGGTTGTTCATAAATAACCATAACGTATGGCAGTTTGGCAAAGTCGTGAAAAAGTATGGTACACGTCATTATTTGATTTTACTAGACTCAGGTCGGCAATTAAAGAGACACATAAACCAATTAAGATCAACATTAATTCCAGAGAAAAAAAAGTGTGTGACTTTTGGCCCAAACCAGTCTTTTGACATTCCTAAACCATCTAAGATCTCCTCACCTACTCAGCCTAGTATTCCAGAACTTCCAACAAATTCCAAACAGGACGTTGTGACAAAACCAAAAAGAAAGAGACAATTACCTATACGCTTTGGGGACTTCGTAATGTCATAGGCATATTTCAAATCTGTTTTAAAAATTTTCAATTAAGTGTATTTTTCAATTATATATTTAACATATTCAATTTTTAAGTAGCTAATGTTTTCAATTAACTGTTATTTCAATTCTAATTAAGTGGGGGAGACTGTTGGGATCTTCCATGTAATTCCACTGGCGCTAGTATCGCGGTTGTGATGTAACTGCAACTGTGTTTACATTGTATGTTTCAGTTTCGATTTCCAGTATGTTCTATTGTTGATGTGTTCTATGTACGTATTGTGAATAAAGTTATTGTTATGTTATAAGTTATCAATATGAGTGCTATCATTGTCAATCATCCTAAATACATATCCCATGCCTTATAATAAACGGTCACAACAGATATTTAATTTATTTGAAAAAGACAAGAAATAAAAATAAACTTATTTTAAATTCAACATGTTTAAGTTTTTTTTATTTTCTACTCCTTGATTTCTTGATACGCTGATTACTTTTTTTTTCTTTCGCGTTGACCTACTAATTCAATAATTTGTGTCTAATTTTACGAATCACTGTTTTTTCTCATTCATTTGTTCATTAATCCGAGACTTTTTACTTTAATAAGATTTTTAAACTTAATTTCGATTCAATTTATTTTTTAAGTTTAAAGTGTTCGCTTTGAAAAAACGTTTTGAATTCGATTAATGGCCCTTCTACAAATGATTTACCACTCTATTTGTGGGAGAGGATTAATGAAATCGTAACAGTTTGGGAAGGGGGGGGGTAAAGGAGAGTGGTATCACGCATTTTGTTTAAAATAAAATCGGTTAACATCAACAAATTTAATATTTTTTTAAACTTACGTTATTTTAAAAGGAAAAAAATGCCATTTTCTTTTGATGGTTTTGTTTTGTATTCATACTTATTCAATTTTCTAGTGAAACATTTTTTATTGCATTAACGCTTTATGGATTGAATAATTAAAATTTAAGAACAATAAACTGGATAATTTCAGATTGGAGCTAATTTATTTAAGCTTAATAACTGTACTGAGTTTTTTTTAAAACTTAAATTGTGAAAGAATTATAATTAAAATTAAATAGAAATAGATTTTAATTATTAGTTACACAGATTTTTTTAATTTCATTCTAATTTGACTGTCTCTTTTATAAGCAATGAACTAATTAATTTAAATATTGTAAGCTATTCTTTTAAGAAAACTGCAAGTGTTACCATCTAACAACACTTAAGGAAACCTAACTAAAATCTGATTACGAAAATATATTTAAAGGATTAAATGCAATGGTTATATATTTTATATTAAAGATTTTTATAAATATACTGATTAATTAGAGGGTTTGGATTTAGAGGCTCTTTGAATTAGAGGGCAAAAATGATTAAGACTATATTTTCTTCTGATTCAGATTTATTGTCAAAATTATTACTCTTATACGAAGAATAAATTTGGGATTTATTACAATGATAAAGGATTAGGTGTAAGTGTGTGTAACGTTATTTTTATTGATTTTTTTGCAACAAAATTAGAAGCGTTTGATTAGTTTTCTAAGCTGCTACTAATCAAAGACGGAACTTTAGCTTTTACACAGATAGGACACCGGTGTCCTTTTTATATATTTATTTTTCTGACCTGACCAGCAAAAGTATATTTCGGCATTTTTTTAATTATAGAAACAGTCTAATAGTTACTAAAAAAACTAAGATTAACGGGATTTTATTTGTACTTAAAAATAAAATTTCGAAAAAAGTAGTTCGATTTTTTTTAAAATTCATATTAAAAAATTTATCAATTATTAATTTCGTAAATCAAAGAAGTTTCAACAATGAAAAACTGTTTCACTTAGATCTAATCAAGTGTGAATTGCTTGTAAATACTATCTGGAAGTGAGCCGCGTTTGGAAGATTTTACTTTCAATGCAAAAAGAAACACCTATGTTTCATGTTGTAATTCATAATAATAAAATTTTTAAAATGCTAAATATAGTATTTATCACTTATTTTGATTTAAATTAATATAAAATAATGAAAAAAGAATGAAAAATCTTATTATATATAAAATTCTAATGATGGTGTCGCAGTTTTCCATTGTTGTCGGTGCATTTTTATTGGCCAGAAAATCACGTGGTGTGATCCAGTTTTTCCTCATTCGTCTCCTTATTGTTTTGGTTGTAGTCAGCATAAAATTAATAAAAGTCATGCTTTTCTTTAAATATTTTTGAATCCCTAACTTAAAGTTATTTTCCTGTACTGCTATTATTACGCTTTTAATTCAAGAGTTTAAAACTAAGAGAATTGCTGTTTTCTTATTAGTATTATAATGTAAATCTGCCTTACATTTTAAGATAAAGTTATTTAGAAAGGTGGTCTAACAATTATTATTTTTGAGCAAATAACATTAATATACTGTTATAAATTACAGTTAAAGAGATCTGTTAAATGATTTAGAACTTAACGATCAGCTACATGCACAATGAGATGCAGGCAACAACAAAAAAGTTGTTAATCTATCCTTCCGTTTGGTAAGCGAAAATATTAAATTAAGTATGTGAACTCATCAAATTTGTTTCAACAATATAACGTTATAACAATATAAA